ACGACGAAGCTCCGAGAGGAGGGAGGGAGGGACGTTGCTGTCGTCCAGCCGTGTATGTGAGGTCACTCCGACGTGCGTTGCCGCGCGCTCCAGCCGAACAGACGACTGCAGACTGCACAGACTCGCGTCCCGTCCCGTCCATTGACTTGCCAGGGGCCGCCTGCGCCGCGCTTGGACCATAGCACGTCTTCGTTGCAGCCAGCACAGGACACCTGCTCTTCTCTCCTCATCCCAAACTCTAACTTTATGGAAAAATATTAACGATATTTTGTATCTCTAAATAAGTCTATTATAAAAATTATATTCAACGATTTATCTAATTATAGACTAATTATTATGCACCATAAATATTAAATATTTTCTAATATATATTCGGACAATATATTGAAAGTGCTTGACTTCTTGGGAGCGACAACGACACTCTTTTAGGGACACATGAAAGTACTACAGTAGGCTTTTCCGTAACCATAGGTACTTTGTGTAGCACTTTATCTCATTTAAATTATAATTTATGTAAATCACACCGGTAGTCCCTAATTATTAGACGATTTTCATTTAGATCCCCAAACTATGAAATCGTATATCTAGATCCTAAACTATTTAAGTATATCATACCGGTCCAAAACAGTCAAGTCACATTCTATTAGCTAATGTGGCGCTCTAGCATGGAACCAATATGTGGGTCCGTAGCTCATAGTCCCCAAACTATCATGTGATTCTCACATAGGTACCAAACTATAAAATTACTTATCTTGGTCTCTAATCTATAAAGTACTACGATCCCAGTCCAAAGCAATGTCTTCACGTCATCTGTCAGTACGGTTGGATCACGGGACACACTGAGACAGGCATTGTTGTCAAGTGTGTGCTAAGACACCTCACTCACTCATGGTGACAATGAACAACTGGCCAGCAACAGCTTCTCGGGTATGCCAACTAGCTATTCCATGTCACCGTGAGCAAGTGATGTGTCTTAGAACACACTTTAGGACAATGACCGCCACTCCACCAGTACGTCTTTCGGTCCAACCATACTAACCTATGGCGTCAAGATATTGCTCTCCAAGATAAGATGAGAACACGATGATAAGTTCAAAACTAGCAAAGGCTCGGAAGCCTATATCTGTCAATCTACGCAACGATGAATGGAATGTCAAGAGGTTTCTTTGGACTAGGATTGTGTACTTTGATAGATTAGGGATCCAGATAAATAATTTTATAGTTTGGGACCTAGGTGAGAATTATACGATTGTTTAGGGACCGCGTCTGTAATTATAAGCTACGGACCCACATGTCGGTTCCATATATGTACCTAGCTATTTTCGACTGCGATGGTGTATTTAAATAGTTTAGGGACCTGGATATACAATTTTATAGTTGGAGAACCTATATGAGAATCGCGTAATAGTTTAAGGACCACCAGTATAATTTGCTCTTATAATTTATTTTAGTTTTATTCGTTCCAAATTATAAGCCGTTTTGATTTCCTAAATGTATAATAATAACATAAATATATTTAAATTCATAACAAAATTGATACATCTAGATAATCAAAACGACTTACAATTTAGAAAAAATACAAAACAAAAATACTAAACTATATAGTATTACTACTTTCTCTGCCAATTGTCTTTTTTTCATATCTATACGTGAGCACTTTACATGTCCCTTTTTCAAACTTTTGTAACAGGGGATAAGCACGAGTGCAAAGAAGACATGGCCCACATGTCCATAGATTATCAGTAATGCGCACTATCATTCTATCCTATCGAGCTTCAGTCAAGAAAGAAAAGAAAAATAGCACCACATCCACATCCACCAGAGCAAAGGTGCCCTGGACCCAAAAGAAAAAGATTGCTTAACGAGTCTCCAAATTATATTGGCAGCTTTAGTTTTGCAGGTCCATGGAGTCAACTCACACCCTCTGGAGAAGCCCGTGACAAAGGTGAAGCCAAAAGCGCGTGCTCAGGTCAATCCATCCATGCTACAGCGTCAGTCGTACATAAAGTTTTTATATTGTTTTTATTTATAACTGTTTTTGCGCCTAGAGTGGGGCCAGGCATGGTCTTAGAGATTAGGTCTAGCCTTCTCTATCGACGTAGATCATATCGCCCTGAAAGTGGAACTAGGCCTGCTTGCACATTTTCATACAAAGAGCATCATATCTACTTTCTTTTCCTTTTAGCACTCCAACCCTCTCTAAAAAAATACAATTCTTACTTTTTAATAAGTTAAATACTTTTGAAATTGATCATCTATATAAAAAATAATAACATCTATGACACAAAATCAATCCAGAGACACGTGGAAATATATGCCAATATCAACCAGTCGATCGATCTAGAGGTGAAAGGACGAGAGAAAGAATAAAGATAAAGAGTAAGGACATGGATCCCGATGCAAATATATGAGAGAGAAAAAAATATAAAAATAGTTGATGTGATTTGTAAATAGTCTGGATTTTGGATGCAAAATTATCTTTTATCGTTTAGGAGAGTGATTTTGAAAACAGTAGAAGTAACCCAATAATTGTGATCCCAGATTTTTTTAGCCACTTGAAAAACTTATTGATTTAGCAATTTCTTTTCAGGAACTATTTAGCACATATATTTTAAGACATAAATATTGATAGTGGTTTGTACAAACTTCATTAAACTTAAGAAAATTTAACTTGGTTTAAATCTAGAATTATTTTTTTAGACGAGAATGAATGAGTACAACACAAGGAGGTGGACTTTGGGTTCAACTTGAAGAGCTCTTTTTTTTTTTACCAAAACTTGGAGAGCTCGATGGACCCCTTTGCCATCCAAGCAGGAGCTCAGTCTGTGCCGAGAGACGAAGAGAGACTAAATATGGATACAGAATAACAGATGCCTAGTTCCACTTCCCTCTACTTTCTAGTATTCTCTTTAATTAGCTTTATTGCTTAGGCAATGCATTCATTGGTTTACGTCCACCAACAAGCTCTGCTGATTTTTTTTTTTGTCTTGGTTCAGTAAATAGATCACAACTTACACCCTCAAGTTTGTATGGAAGCAAGCACAATCACTTGGTCTATTTGGTTAACACGAAATGACTTAGTTTTTGATAAAAAGATACTATCAGAAAAGATATATCTTCTTATTTACAAGTTGTTTTTAGGTTTTCTCATTAGACATGTTTCTGACCCATTTTACAAAAGGACCAAGACCGACCAATGTTAACTGGACAAGTCGTATCCTAGAGACAATCGCAATGAAGATCTTCACAAAACATAGGTGGCTGTTTTGCAATAAGCTTACTGCATAGATTACTGTTACTTCTTGTGACCTTTTTGATAGCTTGTTTTTATATGCTAAAGACTTGTTTTGTACTAAACTTTAATTGAGTGTGTAACTTATGTAGAGATCAGAATAAAACTTCCTTTTTTCAAAAAAAAAGGCAAAATGATCATCCTTTCGTGTGATTCAACCTGATAACCTGAGGCCAAATTTTGCCAGGCTTTTTTGTGACGTGCACCTTAGTTTTGTTAGTGTGGCCCACCTTAACTAAACCATAAGAGTTTTGCAACCTAATCCTACTAACTAGTGTATGCAGTAGGAGTATGCTAATCCATGAGAGGGGGGGGGGGATCTAAGGGATAGGGGTCTTTTTTTGCAAGGATTTTCTATTGGTAGGTCCAACGCTACACCACCCAAGAACCGATTGAATGCCTTAGAATCTATAGTATTTTTCTCTCACAACAAAACAGTTTTAGTCGGCTTATCAGCCACCTTATGTATCAGCCGAACAGAGCCTATATACGAGTTTTTTTATACGAAAATTACTGCTTGGGTACTTTGAGTATGGAAATTCAGTTTAAAAGAAAAGAGTATGGAAACTATTATTTTGGGATAAGGCTAGCATGGAAATATTCCAGTTGGCGAGACCGGTACAAGGTAACCAAACCACAGCTCACAGAGTCACAGCAGAGGCCAAAGTGGAAGCACCCAACCACCATGTCATGCCACCCAACGAAACCGCTACCACTTAAAGACGACGCCTGCTCGTTTGGGCTTGTTGGGATATAAGCCATAACTAAAAGTACTGTTGACTGATTTGGTGTGAGAGAAAATACTATTCGTTGGCTGATAAACCATGGATTATAATCCAAATACGACCGAGCGAGATGTTGTATGGTTATTGATAGCGCTGTAAACAGATACAGCTCCATTCAAGATCGTTAACCCAGCCCCCCCCCCCAGCCCACACACACACACACACACACACACACTATGCGCTCCCCTCCTGATTGGGGTCACGGACACAGAAGTCTTGCAAAACAGAAAGAAAGCGCCGCCGCCACCCTGGCCCCATGCGCGTCACCACCGCCCTCGCCCCCATACGTGTCACCGCCCTTGCAGCCGAGCGCGCAGCAGAAAGAAAGCACCGCCGCCCCTCGCCGCCGAGCACGCGAAAGAAAGAAACCGCCACCACCCTCGACCCCCCATGCGCGTCGCCGCCCTTACTGCCGTGTGCGCCGCCTCTCGTGTGCTGCTCGGCTATTGTTGGAATGGTTTTCATTTACGTTTCCTTTCTTTTTACTATACCAAACAGCACCTTACTACTAACCATCGTCATCACTAAGCAGGCACGAGCACACAAACACACAGTGACACAACACAAAAACGATTATTGGCGCGGTGGGGCCCACCATTCATCCGCTCAAAGCCCAGCCCAGCCTATAAGACAGGCCGACGACCCCCATTCACTCGCTCCGTCCGTCGTCGCAATTGACATTTCCACACACGCTCGCACGCACACCGGTGCGTCGCCAGCGCAATCATATACTACTCTCTTCGGTTCCCCTCCCCTTCCTCCTCCCCTCCCCGGCTCTTCCGCCCCGCACCATACGTCCTCCGGCGCCCGACGCGGACGGCGAGCCGCCGCTGCTGCTGCCGCCGGAGGAGGAGCAGGGGCAGCGGGGCCAGCGGGTGCAGGACGAGCATCAGCAGGGCGCCGGCCGCTGGGGGCTGTGCCACATGCCGCTCTGGGGGTCCGCCGCGTCCGCGCCGCCGGCAGCCGAGGGCGACGCCGCCCGCGCGCCGTCAGGCTCTGCCGGCGGGGGCGGGGGCGGCGTCAAGGTGATCCGGTCGCTGCTCCCCACCCGCCGCCGCCTCCGCCTCGACCCGACCGCCAAGCTCTACTTCCCATGTAAGCAATTTGCGCGCGGGGCTCTGTTGATTTCTTTCTTGCCCCTGCTGGTGGTGGTTTACTGCTTTCTTTCGACTAGCAACTCTGTTAATTTCGACTAGCAACTGCTGGCGATGCCTTTCAATCGTTTCCGCCTCTGCGGCGTCCGTCTCCCGCTGCTATTCGAGTTCTTGATTCGATTGCGCTGTCTCGTCAAGGCATCGCCTTTCGTGTTGTTTGCTCAATTGTTTTTGCTTCTGCAACTCTCCTCTCTCTGCTTGTTCGGTGAAAGCTTATGTTCCTTCTCAACTCTTATTCGTGAGAAAAGTGACTTCTTCATAGACGAATAAAAAAGACAAACTTTGTACGACTGTTTGTGTATAGAGATTAAATCGATGGATAGTAAAAGGCCATGGGAGATATGGGAAAGAGATTTTCCGTTCATCTGTTTTTTTAGCCTAATTTTGGTCTCTAATTTTGACTTGTACAGATGAACCCGGCAAGCAGGTCCGGAGCGCGGTCAGGATCAAGAACATCAGCAAGTCCCATGTGGCCTTCAAGGTAACTAACAACTGTCTCTTATTCAGTTATGCTATTATAACCAGATGCTTTTCTCTGAAATGTTTTTTATTGCAAAATTTCCAACCAGTCTGTTCCTAACTGGTTTACCACTAATTGCTGCAACTAGTACAATTGTTAAGCCCTCAGCTGCACAGTACACATCAGCAGAGCACTAATTTTAAGCATCTTTGCTGTTCCAGTTCCAAACGACTGCACCAAAGAGTTGCTTCATGAGGCCTCCTGGCGGTGTACTTGCTCCAGGGGAAAGCATCATAGCAACAGGTAATTGAATTTGAGCGCTAGCTGTGGTGCTCGCAAGTTATAATGACCTAACACGTGCATTCCATTACATCAATTGCAGTTTTCAAGTTTGTTGAGCATCCGGAGAATAACGAGAAGCCATTGGACAAGTGCAAGGTTAAGTTCAAGATTGTCAGCCTCAAAGTCAAAGGGCCGGTGGAGTATGTCCCTGAATTGGTAAATCCTCTCTCCACCAGCCCTGGTAGACTCAGTGTAGTGTTCAATTTAAATGTTGGAAACCTTCACTTACTGATCAGTCATTACCATTTCAATGCGTGCCTAAACTGAAGTTGTTATTCCTTCCGTTGCAGTTTGATGAGCAGAAGGACCAGGTTGCAGTCGAGCAAATTTTGCGGGTAGTATTCTTGGATGCTGAGCACCCAAGCCCAGTAAGTCTCAGCAAAACCTTTTCTTTTCTTTTGAATTTTCTTTTAATGCAATGCAATTAGTGAAGAATAGAAAGGTTGGCTTATGCATTTTGGCAACATTTGTTTTGTAGCAAATGGATAAACTTAAGCGCCAGCTTGCTGAAGCAGAAGCAGCGCTTGAGGCACGCAAGAAACCTCCAGAGGACAATGGCCCCCGTATTGTTGGTGAAGGCCTTGTGATTGACGAATGGGTAAGATTATGGCTCAGTAGTTATTAATGACAGTGCCTAGTCTTTTAATATAGTGTCCAAGTATTCGAGATGCAGCTCTGCCTCATGTGCTCCAACGTTAATTTCTTGATTATATTATTCCAGAAGGAACGAAGAGAGAGATACCTTGCTCGCCAGCAGATCGAAGGTGTTGATTCAGTGTAGACACGAGACAGCCCTGTAAACTATGCAGATTGAACATACCATTTTATGGGCACGAACTCCAGTTGTCAAATGGTTTTTAGCTTAATTTTGTGAAGGTTCGGATTGGAGCAATCAAGCAACAATGAGGCAGGCTTTGTGTAATTAGAATTTGAGCTTCACGAACTTCTGTCTTGGGTCTGGATGTGTGTAGATAATCAGCCACTGCTTGACAATAATACCTCCTGTTCTAAGCCATGTACTCAGTGTTGTGGAATGTGGGACACAATATGTGAATGTGATACATTCCCTAGCTGCTGTCCTGTCAATATTAAAAATGTATTTGTAATATCAAAAGGCACACTCCAAGGTGATTTTAGTGATAGTTCTGCCATCATGTTACAGTAATTCTGGAAAATAATGTTAAGAAGTCAGCTTAGTAGCAATCATCCATGGAATATTCTCTGAAGAGCTGTTATTAAAACATGTCATGCCACCCTGAGATTTATGTCATTCAGTTGTCAGTTGATTGGTCCCATGAAACATTATGGGCTAGGATTAGCATCTTGTAATCTCCTCATGTTCCTTTAATTTTGATGTGTGTGTGTGTGTGTGTGTGTGTGTGTGTGTGATATGTGCTGTGCTGATATAATTGTTCTTGTTCCTTTGTGTCCATCTGATCTGTACTGATGCAGCTGTTGAGCTGGAGGAATTAGTACAAGTATACCTAACCCACCAACCAAAGAGGTGGGATGATAATGGAACTTTATTTTTAGTCCTTTTGTGGCCTGGACAATCTGTTGCTTTCATGGAATTCGAATATTGGGTGATTTCTTAAATGCTTATTTCAGTTTCATAGCCAGATAGATGTGATCATACATCCTTGACTTTTGAGATTGAATATGTGCAAGTTGCCGCTTGTATAGTATTTAATTATTTCACTTTCAAAGAGACAAACATGCATGCGTGAGAATATTTCTTTTGTGCAATATGGACACTTGTTTAGTGAAGGGTTATATTCGTTGAACACCTTAAAACGGGTATTTTGCCGCCCAGCGGTGATGCAGTTGCAATAGGATTGCTCCATGTAGTACGCGTTCTAGAATGGTTTGAAAAATTCAGATTCAAACTTGGCTTTCTCTTTCAAAGATAGAAATGGAAAGATCAACTTGACTTTGAATTTTCATCTGAGATGTTGAAGTTTACCAGAGAGAACATTTCTTAAAAGATCTGGACCAATCTCTGTTCATGGGGAATACATGTTTTCTAGTACATCTTTTTCTTAAATTGCGCATCTTGCCCTGTGCTTGAGGGAACTGTCTGCCCCACTGACGCTCGTAGTGTTCAATGGTGTCAAACACAGATAGTTATTTTGTACAACATTATGAGGCAACTCAACTATAACATTATCTGCTCAGCTCATAGCTGCTCCACAAACTTGCCAGAATGTCAGTACTGACTACCAACTTTTGGCACCAACATTTTACCAAACGCCAGAAAAATCATGCAACCAAATGAACCACTAGTTCACTACCATGGGCCAAGACAGGATTTCACAGCCAAGACAGGATTTCACACAACAAAATCAGGTCCAAACTGACCCTTTTGCATATCACATCTTAGTGGTAAAAAATAGCTATTAAAAGAATCAGAGTTACTCAGGCCGCAAAAGTGCAGTACAACTCTCCAAAAAAAGGTAGGTACAACGGAATTTCTTCGTGGTGCACTATACAAAGTGCAAGGGAACTCACATTCTTCCCTTAACAAAAAAAGAACATTTATGTGAAATCAGACTAAAAAAAGTGGGAAGAGGCTCTATTGGCCCCGTTCATCTGAACATATATTATATGTCACAGCAAAATCTTTTCCCTCTTGATTATATGCAACTCGAGTCTCTTCCGAAAATGAATCGGCGCGTCCAGTCAGATACCACCAGCATCCTCGTGCGCCAGCTGATTTGTTTGCTGAATCCATAGAACAGAGAACATCATCAGACATACTGCTGATGAATCACAAATATGGGCAGAAGAGTGGTAGCACAATCTACTTTGTTATCACGGAAAGGGAAACACTTACGTTGCGTACACGGAGTACCAGAGCCACTGGGTGCTGTGGCCAATGGAGATCCAGTCCCCAGGAAGTTGTGCAGCAGTTTGCTCCCCTCCTAGTGGGGCGAATTGGCCCAGATGCCGGTACCTGGAGGGTCAGGAAAGTAATAGCATTAGATGCTGTACAGAAAAAAGTGGATGCTTTTGGAGGGCAAAGCATGGTAAACAGCATTTGGATCAGAGTGAAGGTCATGATCAGCCAACTATGGAAACATTGATCAATTGAGTGGTGGAATAGGAACCTGAAAGGGCGGAAGCGATGGCGGCCTTCTCCCCTGATGCGGATTGGACCTTCAGGGTTTTCTTCAGCATCCTTCATCTTATTAAAGCACCTAGCAAGATATTGGCCCTGCTGCGACGCGACCTGTCAGGAACAAGCAAATCAGAAATTGGGCAAGAGCGTGATCCTTCGATTCGATTCAGTTGCTTTGAAGCCATCAAGCCAGTTCTCACCTGAGCAGTTGCAGGTAAGAACTTGACTTGTGAATCCACGAGTGCAAGAGCCTTCTTGAATTCCTCGATGTTCAGTTCCATGGATTCCTTTTCAGCATCTCCTTTGGCACTCCTTACTAGATCAGCGATGCCGTTCATCTGCTTGCTCTTAAGGTAGAGCTGTACTTGCGGGTATCTCACGTAGATATCATGCAGGATATCTTGAATTTCTTTCACAGTCAAGGTTCCAGACTTGTCTTTATCTGCAACTCTGAATATTTCTGAAATGTCCTCCTGCAACCATTACACATCAAGATCATAAATACCTGAAGGCGGATAACAGTTTAGCAAAAGATTTACTACTAGTTAGTTTAAATCGTGTATTACAGATAATCAACACTAGACCACTGGAATACAGAATTGCCACTACATTCAAATTTCCTACAAAGTACCAACCGTATTTGATAATACACATCAAGTGAACCAGTGGCCTTCATGAGAACTCCTATTGAGATTCATTGGCTTATGAATTTCTTTTGAGGGAATATCTTTTCATGACATCTCACTTCTTATGAATCAATAGACAGAAAGTTAGGAATGTAATAGTGAAATTTCCATAGATAGGTTTGTGAGCAAACGGTTGCAATACAGACATGGCAGAAACTTTTCCTGAAGGGGAATAATAAAAATTCAGGCAAAACCCAAACAAATAAGTAATAAGCTTCCTTTACATACCATTACTTTCCTCTGGTTTATTGTAGCACAGTCACCTATAGCATAGACACCATCACATTCACGGACCCTTAGCCATTCATCAGTAGCTAAGACACGCCGATTGGCCTGTATATGCAGACAAATGTTCAGATGGCTAACTTAACTGCAGAAGAATACTAAATGAACACTTGAATTTTATATCTACCTGGCCAATTTGTTTCATAAATTCCACAACGAATGGACGAGTCCCAATACCAGTGGACCAGACAGCCATCCCATAAGGAACTGAAATATCCCCAGTGGCAGGATTTTGCATGGTAATAGCATCCTTAGAAACCTTCACAACTTTATATCCAGTTTTCACATCAATGCCATCCCTTCCAAACTTATCCTCAGCAAAGTTAGTTATCCTGTTGTCAAACCTTTAGGAAATGCAAGCAACCATTAGTCTAGGAAGCAATGTAACTTACGCCAGGTAAATTTGCTGACAAAATTCTTGGGGCAATAGTTAACCATTAGTCTAGGAAGCAACCATGAAGGGAAAATGGTGTTCTTGCCCCTTACACAGATGTGCAATTGTGATTTTGCCCTCGTTTTTCTAACTTTGTGATTTTACCCTTAACTGTTCACAAGTCAACGTGATTTTACCCCTGGTCAACGCAAATTTGCCCCTGTTTTTACTGTTGACCAGGGGCAAAATCGCGTTGACTTGTGAACAATTAAGGGCAAAATCACAAAGTTAGAAAAATGAGGGCAAAATCACAATTGCACATCAAAGTAGGGGCAAGAACACAAGAGGGAAAATGGTGTTCTTGCCCGTTACACAGATGTGCAATTGTGATTTTGCCCTTAACTGTTCACAAGTCAACGCGATTTTGCCCCTGGTCAACGCGAATTTGCCCCTGTTTTTACTGTTGACCAGGGGCAAAATCGCGTTGACTTGTGAACAATTAAGGGCAAAATCACAAAATTAGAAAAACGAGGGCAAAATCATAATTGCACATCAAAGTAGGGGCAAGAACACAAGAGCCCGGGAAAATGGTGTTCTTGCCCTTACACAGATGTGCAATTGTGATTTTGCCCTCGTTTTTCGAACTTTGTGATTTTGCCCTTAACTGTTCACAAGTCAACGCGATTTTGCCCCTGGTCAACGCGAATTTGCCCTTGTTTTTACCGTTGACCAGGGGCAAAATCGCGTTGACTTGTGAACAGTTAAGGGCAAAATCACAAAGTTAGAAAAACAAGGGCAAAATCACAATTGCACATCAAAGTAGGGGCAAGAACACAAGAGCCTCTTGCCCCTTACACAGATGTGCAATTGTGATTTTGCCCTCGTTTTTCTAACTTTGTGATTTTGCCCTTAACTGTTCACAAGTCAACGCGATTTTACCCCTGATCAACGCGAATTTGCCCCTGTTTTTACCGTTGACCAGGGGCAAAATCGCGTTGACTTGTGAACAGTTAAGGGCAAAATCACAAAGTTAGAAAAACGAGGGCAAAATCATAATTGCACATCAAAGTAGGGGCAAGAACACAAGAGCCCCAACATGAAACCCCATGTAGAGCATCAAAAGTATGAAAAAAAATCAGATATTCATATGCCTTACATGGTCAGTATGTGATCTGCAGCTTCAATCAATGATATCTTCACAAGGTGCTGAATCGAGGGATAAAGCTTGGATAAATCTTTGGTAACAAAATCATGCAAAGACGCTGCAAATTCCACTCCAGTAGGTCCACCACCCACAACAACGAAATGAAGATTCTTCTTCCTCTCTTCTTCATTCAGGAAGGGGAGGCTTGCTCTCTCAAAGCAGTCCATCACACTCCGTCTGATCTTTTGAGCATCCTCTACTTCCTGCAATTAAATGAAGGAGTACAAAATGAGTAAAATGATGTGGCTTAAAGTTAAATAACCATGCAAATTAAGTAAAACATTTTTTTTAAAGTAAAATGTTTATCTTAGATAAGTCAAGAGTTCAGATATGGTTCATTTTCCATGTAGACAAGTTAAAGCTATGGACCTAACAATATACATATACAAGGAAATTATGTATGTCCTGCATTCATAGTGGAGGGTTACCTTCAAGAAGTGGCAATTCTCTACCACGCCAGGAGTATTGAATGTATTTGTCCTAGCTCCAACTGCTATCACGAGATAGTCATAGTCAACCGAGAACTCGCCATTCCCCTCAAGATTTGTCCCAACATTCGAGCGACAATGGATTTTCTTGCTTTGTGGATCAACCTTGAAGCACTCTGCTTCCCAAAATTTGATTTCTCCACCTTTCTGTAGGCATCAGAGACAACAAAACGAATATCAGTCCGCTGGCAATAAATGTAACCATCTAATTGAGGTAGTGTACTAGTGTTCAATATTTTGGAGTGATTCAAACATGAATAGTGTTTGTTCCTTGTTTACAAAAGGAAAAGAAACGAAATATGGCTGTTTCCCAAATGAAATGAGTCATCCACTAATTTTGTATGTGTGGGACTCAACTTGCTGACTTGCTGAGGTGCAAGATGCAAGGTCAGAAAGACGCCAACTTCATTGGTGCATCATAAAAAGAAAACGTCCTAATGTTTTCAGTAAACAGTGTTGAATGAATTTAGACTAAAAGAATTCAAGCTGCTGCTAGACAAACATTCAAGTTATGTAATGTAGGTATATATACAACAATAATACAGTGGTTCTTTTACTGCATACTGAACATTGTCAGCTGCGCATTGTTCTATTGCTCTGGTTCACAAATAAATCTTAGATTAAGGCAGAAGAACTGCATCCAAAATTGACAAATGGTTCTTTCAAAACAAGGATGACCAAAGCACAGATAATAATGTAAGTGCTAGAATGAATTAGCAGTCACAAAGAACCTGCATAAGTTCTGGAAAACAGCATACCTTCTCCAAGATCCTACGGATTGGCTCAACAATGCTCCTAGGCTCAACTGTTCCAGAAGTGACACTCGGCAGCAGTGGCGTAAACGCAAAGTAGTTCCGAGGAGATATAACCTGCACATCATAGAATCTGCTATCGAGGTTCCTCAGGAATGTGGTGCCACCCCAACCAGTCCCAAGCACCACGACTTTTTTCCTTGGAGGAAGTTGCGGCTTCTCAACAGCAGCATCTGATCCGGAGTCAGCATATGCGACAAGGCCTCCGCTACTGCAGATACAGTAACTTATGAGCAATTGAGCTGAATGTAATCTATGTATATTCTACATTAAGGCCGCCTCATTATTGCCCAGTAGTATTCTAAGAAACGGGATGGCATGTAACAGACTGCAGACTGCAGACCTTATTGGCAGAACATAAAAAAGTTCTTTTTTGAGAATTATTTTCTATACATTGTGATGTTTCATTCTGGATTTATACCGAACAAGCAAATTATGCAGATTACTTTTCGTTGTTACATTAGGTAATCCGAAGAAAAAAGGAAAGCCTAGTACTTATAAAAGACAGCAGCATGTTCCACGTTAGTTCGGCACATGGTTGCCATGACACGGTACACACCAAACAATGGTTGTTGTTTCTACTGGTTTGTGGCCGTACCAGTACCATAATGACCTCGCCTTTTTTTAATTAAACAGTAATACTTGCATTAAGGAAGTGCTGAAACATCGTGGTGCTACGGAACTGAGAAATGGAAGGCAAGTTTTTTTTTTCTTTGTTGGTCTGATGGGCCATCCAGCGTTGAAAATTCAGAGCTGGAGTCTCACCTCACCACGACGTGGGGACTCACATCACAATTCACATGTAGCACTGGAGAAATCAAAGTGGTTTTTGTTCTTGGGCACATGGACCACTACGGAATATTCATATGCAGAGAGCAGTGTCCACGACGACGTGGGGACGCCTCCAATTTGCAATTTTTTTTATTACTAGGTGGGGCAAAACAGTTTTTGTTTTGTTCATCTCGCTCATCTTTCCTTGTTTTTTTTTTTGAGAAACGTTCTTCTCGCTCATCTAACATCATTTGAGAGGGACTGGAGCTGCGTATGCGAAAGCAGAATCGAACAGGGCAACTGGGCAAGCGAGATTTCAGAGGTTGGGAAGGTGAGAGAAGTCCGGACACAGGCTGAACATGTAGCAGGAAACGCCAAGATCCGCGGGGATGGAAACGCAAGGTAGCAGGAAGGAAAGAACTACTGCACAAGTCCCTCCCTCCAAGATCCTGACAGAAAGGGAGCGGAAGAGGCCAGCCGCCGCCGGCGAAATTGATCGCAGAAAGTCGCAAGATCCCAATGTATGCATGACCTTTCAGGGACTCCAAGGCAGAGGGACGGACATGTATACTAGTACAAAACAGAGGCGGCTACAGCGTACAGAGAGATTGGCGGAGGAGGAGAGGAAGAAGGGGCGGATGAATCGAATCGATGAGGTACCTGGCGGCTGCGACGACGAGGAGGAGGTTGGAGACCCCCGGGCGGCGGCCGGACCCCCGGGACGCGCCCTCCCACAGGAACGCCGCCCACCTCATCTCTGGCTCCGCCCCTCGGTTGCTCGCTCGCTCGCTGGCTCCGGTGATCTTGGAACAAGCAGCACACGACCCACCCACGCGGCGGCGAAAGATGGGAGAAGGAAGGCTCGGAAGCAGAATGGACGGCGCGGCACGGCACGGCAAGGGGAAAGGAGGCTCCTTTATACTGGGAGGAAGGAACAGCTTCTTCAACGAAGGACTACTCGGAGGCTCGGAGCCTACAGCGAAGCGAGCGAGAGAGCTCCGCCGACTGCGATTTCCATTTCCTGGTCCAACCTCGCCAACCTTTTTCTTCCTGTGTGTGTGCTCGTGGCTGGCGGCGAAGCGGAGGTTGGTGACTCCCGTGTGGGGCCCACCGGGGGTCTGCGAAGCTGGGCCTCTAGTTGCTTCTCCTCCATTTTCTCCGCAAAGCGGCCATGGGACGGACACGTGATCGGCATGCTAAAGCGAACCCTGTCCTGTTGCTGTGTCGTTGTGTCATGACATGTGGGAGAGTTCGCAGCTTCGGCCTTTTCGCCTTTTCTAATCGGCGGCAAGCAGTGTTCCAGAATCGCGGAGATTTCTGGCCACATTTCCTTTCTGTTTAATGATGATGAAAATATATCTATACTCCCTCCTTACTCCTTACTATATAAAATATAAAGCATTTTTGACTTGTTATGGTCTTTAAAATCATACAAATCTTAAAATTATCATAATGTTCTCTTTTTTTTATGTCGTTGCTATCGAAGAAAAAGAGGGGCAGAATAGTTTTTTTGAAGTCAAGAAACTAGAAAAAGCTATGCGTGTGTTCGGAAATTGGTTGTAGCTGCAGCTGTACAACCATCCAACACTGTAGCACATGCAGCATCCAATCAACAGCTGACACTTCAACAAACGACTAGCAGGAGCAGTCTCAAAAGCGGCTTAGGGCGACCGCAACAGAGCCGGCGACGTCGCTGGCTGACATGGCTGAGTGAAAAATAAAATAACATTGATTTGCGTTCTCTCTCCAAGCTGGTTCCACCCGTCTCTCTCTTTGTTTCTGGGATGACGTGAAATCGCCAGGTGATTTAGGTCTTCTCCAACGTTGCTTTTTAGGATCGAATAAAAAAAATATACTGGTTATAGTGACGTGTAGAAGCTACATATTTTAAGAAAAAGAATGTGGTCTAGATTTAAAAAAAAGAAGGAGAAGAAATAAAAATAAAATATGATGGAAAAAAGTTTTTTTACAAATCATAAATAGTAATAATTTATATTATATAAATAGTAATCTCAACATTTTCTATTATACGTGGGTCGTACCTGCCATCATGACCGGTGCTCTCGATGGGCGCTAGCGAGTCTTCACCTTTTTTCTTTTCCTGCCATCAGATGACGTCGACGTGCTAGCTCGATGGGCGCTAGCGCGAGTCTGGATCTTGGGTCATCTTTTCACGATGATTTGATTTTCTAATATTTTCCTTCCACGTCAGATTCACCCGTCGACGTAGCTAGCCACTGGGGACGCCCTTAGGCCGTGCTCAACGCGGTGACTTCCTTTAGCTCTATGCTCACATGTCAGTATAGAACCAGCCTAAAACCGCAGGCTACGGATGCCAGGCCGTGCTGGTCAAAAATTAGGTGCTAGGCTCGGATGCAGGTGACTGCAGGTGGTGACCTGCAGAGGCTGCTATAGCCACAAGAGAGAGAATGTCTCTGTGTTTAGTTCCTAAATTTTTTTTCCAAAAAATACTGTAGTAGCCATCACATCGAATATTGCGATACGTGTATGAAATATTAAATATAGATGAAAAAAACTAATTACACAGTTTAATTAAAAATCACGAAATAAATATTTGGAGTCTAATTAACCTATAATTAAACATTAATTATTAATATAAAAACAAAAATACTACAGTACTAAATTTCCAAATTCCGTGAACTAAACACAGGCAAGAGACAGCAAAAGAAAAGAAATGTCAGCTTTTGCAAGCTGTGGCAAGGTTGGAGTATGTGCCTGCGATGGGAAGGGGTGCCCCAACTTGCCTGCACCTACGTAGAGGGTGATACTAAGCCAACACTTTCTCCGCGTTGGTGAAGCCCTTATACACATAGTGAACAGGCTCATGTTCCCTCAGCTTACAAGATTATGGAATTTACGGGGTCTTTGGATTCCATAAGCTAACTAGGAGGTATGACCGTTTCGAGCCCTATCTAGATTATAGAAGTTAGCTTCTATAATAATCTTGAAGAATCCAACCAGGCTTCTCATTGCTGTTCACCACGCCTGCAAGTCTGCAACTACAGTTCTTAGTATCAAAGCTTTATTAGAATAGCCGATCGCACCCCATCAAAATGGAAGCATCACTTTCCTCTATAATCATGCAAAAGAGGAAGATGCTTTTACGTGTATGTCATTAAAAAAGTATGTAATTATACATAAGTCATTAAAAAAATTGACGCATACGAGTGCCATCGTTCTGAACTTCTTTGCTCTCCAAGCCATTCCGTCAGTGTTCTGTTCGTTTTTCACCGTTTGAAAATCCTGACAAGTAGGCCCGATCAGTCAAAACGTCCATAATATCCCTCTCGTCCCTATCATCTCTCTCTCAAACTCTCTCTCATCTACGTCTCCTACATCTGCGTCTCCCACCTTCGGCAGCAAATCACACAAAACCAAAAATTCGCCGAAGCGAGCCAACTGATTCGAACAACAAATGGCGCCGAGAAAACAGGAGGAGATAAGCAAAAGCGCGAGGCGCGCCATGGCAACAGCAGCGGTCATCGGCGGCGGTGGGGTGGCGTCCCGCCACGCTTCGGCAGCGGCGTCGGCGTGATGGTGTCGCTTTCGCGCCGAGCGAAGCCTCGGCGCGCTCTTCAGCGGTCAAGTCCGTGCCCGCGAGGACGCGTCGGCGGCCGAGCACCGCTGCGCGAGGGGGGCATCTGTCGCGCTCCGGTCCCCGCACGTCGTCCCCTCGCAGGTGTGTTCGCTCCGCGCGCGCCCGACGGGCTGCCGGTACTGCTCCTCGAGTTCGCGCTGGGGGCTTGCTTTTCATGGACGTGGCTACCAATTTGGACACCAGAGACGCCCGTGCACGGCTGCGAAGTCGTCCGTCGTGAAGTAGGGCGCGAAGACGCAGCCCGGCAAGCACCTGCGCCGCAGCGTCCTGCACACCCCTCACGCCGCCCCCGCCCCCACCATCGCCTGCTCCTCGTCGTCTGGCATCTCGTCCTCCGCTCGCGTCCACGCCCGGCGGAGCTCGCGCTTGCAGCCGGCAGAGCCCCGCTCGCGTCCGTGGCCGGCGGAGCTCGCACTCGAGCTCACGACCGCCATCCCCTCCGTCAGCGCTCGTGCTCGTAGCTGTGGGCATGCCCGCCGCGCTGTGCCGCGCGCGCGCTCCGTGCCCGAGCGAGGTGCAGGCGCGCCTCCCGCGCCGCCGCGGCCAAGAAGAAGGAGATGGAGCTGCTGCTGATGGTGGCCGCTCTGGCCGCGACCATCCTCAAGGTGACCACCTCGACGTCGCTGCTCCACGCGGCTGCCCAGCCTAGCCCCCACCCCATGCAAGCGCTTGGCGCTGGGAGCTCCGCCCGACCGCCATGGGAGGCAGCGGGCGAAGCCGCCCGACCGTCGCGGGCCACGCTGGGCGAGCTCCGCCCCGCCGTCATGGAACGCGCTGCTGAGGCGAGCTCGCCCGCCGCCGCCGCGAGAAGAGAGAGAGTTTGAGAGAGAGAGAGGATAGGGACGAGAGGGGTATTATGGATGTTTTGACTGATCGGACCCATTTGTCAGGACTCCCAAATGGTGAAAAACAAACAGAACACCGACGGAATGGCTTGGAGAGCAAAGAAGTTCAGAACGATGGCACTCGTGTGCGGTCAATTTTTTTAATGGCTTGTGTGTAATTATAAACTTTTTTAATGGCATACATGTAAAAGCCTCAAAGAGGAAGAGCAAGACCGGGGAAGATCTCTTACTTTGTCATTACACATTCTCCCTGGCTGGTCTAAAAAAATCATTTCTAGTTACTATGGCAGTGTTTGGTTGGGCGTCCAACTGCTATCTAGGCTTCATGGAGTCAATTTTGGTCTGTTTGGTTACTTGGTTGAGCCAGTTAGCTAGGCCTGCTGAGGCCACACCGACCACCTCTTAGCCAGGCCAGCTAGAAATGAGGTGGGTTTTACTTTCCTACAAGCCAGGTTTGGCTAGCACGCGCGGAGTGCTCAGCTCACCTCTCTGCTTCTTTGCCTTCGCTCACATCCGCCTCTGCCTCACCTTCACCGTCTGCCGCACTCTCGCTGCTACGACGCCAACTGTCGTGCCTCCACCTCATTCCTCTGCAAGGGCTCCACCAAGCCATGACCCAATCCAGCCACCGCGTCCGCCTCGCGTCGTTGCGAGGGCTTCACCACACGAGACCATCCTCAGTCCCCTCCGAGTAGAATCAGGAGGGGTAGGGTCTTGCTGGAGAAACACGGAGCAAGAAGACCAGCCTCCTCACGAGAGCCATTGCTCTCCAGCAGCGTGCTCCCACTTGGCGGCGAGAGCGCGGACGAGGACGGGGACGACTGCATCATGTCGGATCTACATCAACATGGAGAGTTCGCTGAGGATAACACGCCCGTGGCCTTGCCATCCATGGTGTGCTGTGCCGGTGCTCAGTAGCTATTCGACAGAATGCTTCAATAAGAACAGTGAAGGTAAGGTCACCATTGCGAAGATGCGGCGAATACACCTAAAAGAGTCTAGCAACCAAAAAAGCATAGCTAAATCAGGTTTGTCTAAAGCATGCAACTAAACAAAGTCCTACTTGCATTGGCTAAAGCTGGCTAGAGCTAGCCTGTCTTAGTTTTCCTACCTAGGTTTGGCGGGGAAGTGAACCAATCACATCCTATCAGTAATACAGATTGACTTATCACTATCGTCACTTTTACTGCCGTAGCGATAAAAGCGTCGGTGTGATACTTCCACCGTCGGTTGGATCGATAGGGAGGCCTCCTAAGAAATGAAATCGGCAGTTGAAAACCATCAATGCGGC